AGAAGTACATTTTTTAAAAATCCAAGACATTAGTTAAGTTAAATTTTACTTAAAAAAAAAAAATTCGAGGAACAGGTCTAGCATCAGTATACTTATCTATTTATTACAAATAACAGCAAGCAACCATTACGCACAGAGAAACCCAGCAGAGAGGTAGAGAACCACTGCTTTGAGGTTATGTCTTCAAGTCTGTAACACAGCTGCTGAAATGATACGCTAGTACTAAAAGAAAACACACAAGTAAAGCTTATATTACATTGTACTACATGTTAAGAATCACCAAGCACTAAGATTATACACAACAATCTAAAAATTATGTTGATTGTGTAATATCCACCAGATTTTTACTCTTCCACCCTGTCTGGCCTGGACTCCCCTCAGGCTTGGCCCTATTAACTAAAGCTTGGACTACGAAAAAAGTGGAACAGATTAATCCACTGGCTTAACACTAAAACATGGCCGTGACAGTTGATACCCATCCAGGACCTCTAATGGCACATTAGTCAGGGGAGATGTGAAGAGGCCATGATCACTGAACCAACCAACAGAAAGCATTCTGAAGAATCTGTTGGCATCAAAGAACCCTTCTAAGCAGGCTGGAGTACAGTGGTGTGACCAGACCTCACTATTAACTTCAAATCTCTGGGTTCAAGCAAACCTTCTGCTTCAGCCTCCAGAGTTGCCTAGAACTGCTGATCCATGCACCATGCCCAGCTACTTTTTTTTTTTCTTTTTTGTGGAGACAAGTCTCACTATGTTGCCTCTGCTAAAACTCCTGGCCTCAAGCAATCCCCCCACCTCCCACCTCCAATGCCACCTTAATCAGACCAATCAGGTTTATTAGTGTACCTTCACACACAACACAACTGTATGAAATCAACTTTGCCCTCAGGAAGCCTATAACCTAATCAGGGAAACAAAAGCAACACATGTCAACAAATGCAATACTGTAATGCAGAAAAGAAGCCAGTACAGCTAACCAGAAATACAAAGATCACAGGCAGAAATTTGTCTGAGGAAGTGATCTGAAGGGATGAGTTGTAAGTTGTTCTTTACCTCCTTTATCTTCTATGTTTTTCTGTACATAATGGGTGCTTGCTTTATTTAAATGAGGGCAAAGTCCAGGTCAAACTGGCAATTGCAATAAACAATTTTAGTGAAGATAAAAAACCAAATGGGTTGCTGTTTTGACTTGAGTCCATCAAAGGACCACAGCAAACAGAAAAATAAAGGGGCAAATGGTATCACATTTGCCCAAAAAGATCCCTACCTGTCCACTTAAAAGGGGGGAAGTTCCCTAGGTTCTGTAAAGAAAATAGTGACCAAGATTCAGGAGCATTATTCCCTAATTGTAATCTCTTAGATTAGAAAGTCAATTTGGCTCACACCTATAATCCCAGAGCTTTGGGAGGCCGAGGTGGGTAGATCACCTGAGATCACGAGCTCAAGACCAGCCTGGCCAACATGGAGAAACCCCATCTCTACAAAGAATACAAAATCAGCTGGGCATGGTTGGCGCCTGCCTATAATCCCAGCAATTCAGGAGGTTGAGGCAGGAGAACTGCTTGAACCCGGGAGGCAGAGGTTGCGGTAAGCCGAGATTGCGCCATTGCACTCCAGCCTGGGCAACAAGAGCCAAACTCCGTCTCAAAAAAAAAAAAGAGTCAATTTCATAAGAGTACAAACCAGAATGGTACAAAGGTACACATTTTGTCAATGAAAACATAAACAAATTTGAAGTTTCTTTAAACATATTAACAAGTTTATTCAGTAGAATGTATGGCCAAAAAGTGTAACCGGCATGCTCATGCCAAAAAAAGAAAGTAACTTAAGTAAGACAAAAATTAGGCCCAAATTCTACTACCAATTAAGCAGCAATTTCAATTTATAAAGTTCTATAACTTTGTACCTTCAACCTACTTTACATTAATTCTCCCCTTCCCCGTGGACCACCACCACAAATGAGAAGCTGTATCTTTTAAAAAATGACCTCAAAACAGCTAATATAATTTCCTAAAACTAATTTATTCAGCATGTTGTTGTTTTTCACAGCCATTAAATCTGCTGGGTCTCACACTCACCCAGTGAGGTAAAATAAAGATTACCCAACCCCATTTTACAGATAAAATAAATGAAAACCAGATAGGGCAAATGACTAGCTCAAAGTCACAAAGCTACTAACTAGTAGTGTGTGAATTTCCAAGCCACTGATGTTTTCACTGCTAGGATGACAACCTTAAAGCAGAATATTAAAACCTTGTCTAGATAACATAAATAAAATAATCTTAAAAGTTACACTGAGGCTGGTGCAGTGGCTCTTGCCTGTAATCCCAGCACTTTGGGAGACCATGGCAGGGGATCACCTGAGGTAGGGAGTTCAAAACCAGCCTGGCCAACATGGTGAAACTCTATCTCCACTAAAAATGCAAAAATTAGCCAGGTGTGGCGGTGCATGCCTGGAATCCCAGCTACTCCAGAGTTTGAGGCAGGAGAATCGCTTGAACCTGGGAGGCAGAAGTTGCACTCCAGCCTGGGTGACAGAGACTCTGTCTTTAAAAAAAAAAAAAAAAAAGTTACAATGGGAAAGGAATCATACATTACTACAAATTTACTTTGCCAGGTGAAAGTACTGATTTTACCGTGGTCTACCTAGCATTCCATTTGTTTTTTAAATCTAACTAGATTAGCACCTTCTGGAACTCTAACTGCCAAAATTGTCCTCAAACTTTGTGAAAGTAAATGGAAAAAAAGAAAAGCCTGTTCATAGGCACAAACTAAATAGTATAAATGTCAGCTGAACAGACTTAAAAACTACTCATACTCCTCAAAAACTGGGAACTGAATGAAAACAATGATAATCTTAATTACAGTTTTCCAATTCTTAGGGATATTGGCACATTCATAGAAAGGCAGACATGTACAAAGCCCATAAACCCCAACCATGTTATGTACAAGATCTTAAACTTAATATAAATGGAATAAAAACTCCCTCAGTCTCACAAAGACGATGGAGTCACAGCAGTTCAAAATTTCTGGGGCTGAACACAGAGCAGGAAGTGTCAAAAAAAAAAAAAAAAAAAAAAAGAATTAGAATTTTGGTATACTCTAAAACTTACACTTAATATTGATCACTTTGCAACGAATATAAGAAAAACAGCCTCAATAAAACCCTCTACAATTTATTGTCTCTAAACCTCTGCTAATTCCATTCCTCAACCCCCCCTGGGGTGTAAATGCGACACACACAGACCTCATATACAGGCCTCTTGCCTTTTTTTCTAACACAACTAGGACCTTTGTTCTGAGCGTCGGTTTTTTACTCCACTCAATAGCTCTTTCAACTTTCTACCCTGTATTTTTTGTTTTGTTTTTAAAGAGGAGACGCTGAGCCTCAACTTGCCAGGTCTTTAAAAAATGAAATGCCAAAAATATCTAATAAGACTCTCGAGAGGAATAGAAAGTTAAACACATCACTAAAGGGCCTACAAAACAGACCAAAGCCCGGAGATCGGGTGATCTGTCAGCCCAGGCAAGACCGAGGACCGCGACCAGGAAGGGAGACAGCAGGAGAGCAGTTAGGCGTCCACTTAGAACGGATTCACTGCGCTATTAACCGTACCCGCCCCCCACCAACCTTTACACACAATTAACTAACGAAGCAATTAAACTATGTCCACCATCAGACTCGATGCTTAGGCTAAACCACCCCCAGACAAAGTAAAACAGCATTATCAAAAAAAAAAAAACATCTATCTTAAGGGTGTGAAAGCTGCCCCTTCCGTTCTCTCCTCATCACGTAGACTAACCAATTCCCTCCTGCACCCCACCAGCAGTTCAAATGTTATTCCCCCTCCCCCGATTTACATGGGTTTTTGTTTTTCCGCATTTTTCCCTCTAAGAAATGAAGGATTTCTCATTCTGAAAAAAGGAAAGACGCCGAGGATAGGATTTGAGATTTTACTATCTCCGTTATTCGAACTCCCCTCTAACTTGCCCCTGTACTTGAAACCCACTCACTATGGAGAAGGAAGGAGAGGGGCTGAACTGATGGACAAACGTTGTAATAGGTTTTATGTAATCCACATATAAATAAATTAATCGCCTGACTCGCTCTGAATGCTAATACGATTGGGGTGACAATTGGCCCACCTCCCTCCACCAAGTCCTAGTTAAACCCACCTACCACCAATTTCCATTCTTATCTATTTAAAAGGATGCTCTATTCTTCTCAGTCAAGTTTCTCGGCTTCTTAGGCCCCCTGCATGCCCCGCTCGTCATCTTCCTCCCTCAGCCTCAACTTCCCACAGCTTAAAAAACTGCCCCGCGCAGACCCAGTCTCCTGGCTCACCCGCCCTCAACCACCCCTCACCGTCGCCCTGTGCAGGAAACCCCTTACTGCGGTCTAAAGTCACTCCGGCCTCTCCCTCCTCTGACCCTCGCTTCCCACAACTGTTGTCACTCGAGCTGCTCCCTAGTTTCCATTTCCGGGCCGTCCATGGCCCCGGAGCCTCCCCTCTCCCGGTTTCCGGGCCCCTCGTCCCATTTCCGGGGAACCCTTGCCGTCTTCACACTCCCCACCTGCACTTCCGGCCCCCCACTTTCTCTCTTCCCAGACACCCTCCAAGCTCCAAAGCCCACTTCCGGCCCCCCTCGACCCCCGCCGAGCTCCCCAACACCCGCAAGCCTTACCCTGCTTCTGTGAAGGGCCCTCTTCATTGCGGGGAGCCGGAGGAGGGACCCAGCGACCCCCACCTCCCGCCGGGCCCCGGTCCCTCCGGCCGCGGCCGCCCTCGAGCGTCTCTCCCGTCAACCCCCGGCCCAGTCCTTCCGCGGCCCCGCCGGCGCCGGGAGCAGGCCAAGCGGGGGCCGAATCGCCGTGATGACACAACCGGGCTTCCTGGGACTTTCTGTTCCAGCTCCTCCCCCCGCCCCCCCAACCACTCAGCCCGGCCCCCTCCCCCCAGGCTTGCCCCCGCCGCCCGGAGCTGCGCCCCAATTACCTAGTTAGGCCCCAAAGTCTCCGGTCCGGACTCGGTGGCGCGGCAGTAACTTCCACTCGCTCCCCCCACCCCCCCCAGCGGCGGCGGCGGCGGCGGCTCCGGGTCCCTTCAATTATCAGCTGAGCCGCAGCACCGCTGCCGGCGTGCGCCTCCGCCCGTGCCGCCTCCCTCCCCGCCCGCTCAGACACCCTCAGGGAACTACTTTGCCCTCAAGCTTCGGATGTCGGGCTTGTCCGCGGGACCGGCCCCGCTGCCTACTGGAGGCCCATCACATCGCCCCTCCCTCCCCTGCCGCCCGGATCGACCCTTTCAGCACCCTCCGATCTCCTCCAGATCTCTTCGAGGGACCAGGAAGGGGACTGTGGAGCTCCGCTTGGTATCCCTCCGCTGGGGTCACCCCCTCCCCTCCGTGGTAGCAGGAACTAATTCCCCTTCGGGTCACCCGGGACCTAGAGCTGGAAATTTCACCGATCAGGGTTCCCTGTGACCCTTGGAAGAAGGCACGATCGCCCCAAGTTAGAAATCCTTCTGCCAGCTCATAAGCGTGGCTCGATTTAAACTAGGGTTTTGGCCCCTTGACCCCACCAAACCCCGCCCCTTCCTGGTTGTCTTAGCGACGGTGGTGGCGTCCCAAGATGGCGTCGTGGCTGCCGGAGACTCTGCTCGAAATTGCAGGACAAGGCCCGCCGCCAAGCAAAGACTATTACCAGTTGCTGGTCACCCGGTCTCAGGCAAGTGCGAGCCGCAGTTTACCCTCTCTCCTAACTCCCTCCCGGCCCGGTTGGGGCCCGGGAGACAGGCTGAGCTAGGCCGAGAGCAACCGTGGCCCGCCGGAAGCGCCCAGTCCCGGCTCCGCGCCGGGAGATTTTCCTTGTCACCTCGGCCTTCTCGGTCCCGCGGCCAGCGTGTCCCTGCTCTCCCCAAGCCCGGCTAGTTCCTGGCAAGCTTTCTCTGCCTCTCCGCGGTGCCGCGCGCTCCTTTCCCGCCATGCCTGCTTACCTGTAGAGTTCCTCCGCGCAAAGAGGAAAACCGGCGTCCCCGACTAGCGTGCGGCCTCACCTCAGCGTGGGAAGGAGGGAAGGACTCAGCCAAATGTCCCAAGGCGGAGCGGCTAGGGAGGGGAAAAGGAGATGGTCTCTTTTCCAGGATAGGAATTAACCATGGAGAATTTTTTAAAAATCTTTCTGTGGCCTTTACGCGTACCGCGGCGACATCAAAACTTAGTTATTACTAGTTGCAACTGACGATTGGGAGCCCTTCTCTTACCTTTTGGAGCCCCTTCTATCCCACTGAAAGTGTGCGAGGGGAGTGGCATAAAAACGTTTCAGCTGCTATGTGCTTCAGCCCCACCCATAATGACATCTGCTCCACAACAATAAGACCGAGAGTTATGTTATCACCAAAGTAACAATCGGCCTATTTTTATGCCTGCTGTATTTATTGAAGGTGGGCTTTTGGATGATTGTGTCTATGAAATTCTCAACTTGAGCTGGGCCTCCGCTGGGAACACGTTTCTAATCCTGACTGAGCTTACGCCTGTCACTGAGTAGTTCATTCATGCACCCAGTGCCTGAATGAACAGATACTATTCCTATAAAATAAAATTTAAAACTTCGTATTTGTTTGTTTTGTTGTGCATATTGATTATTCCCTCGGTTTGTCCAGGAGTCCTTAAAATACGTAATAAGTTGATTTTTTGATATTTTTAAAAGCATCTTTTAAAATATAAATGTTAACATATTTTTTTTAAATTTAAGATTTAGAGGCCAGGCGCAGTGGCTCATGCCTGTAATTCCAGCATTTTGGGAGGCCGACGCAGGCGGATCACGAGGTCTGGAGGTCGAGACCAGCCTGGCCAACATGGTTAAACCCTCTCTCTACTAAAAATACAAAAATTAGCCGAACATGGTGGCGGGCGCCTGTAATCCCAGCTACTCAGGAGGCTGAGGCAAAAGAATTGCTTGAACCCCGGAGGCTGAGGTTGCAGTTAGCTGAGATCGTGCTGTTGCACTCCAGCCTGGGCAACAGAGCGAGACTCTGTCTCAAAAAAAAAAAAAGATTGAAATACTAAAAAAAATTTTTTTAAGTTTCTTAGTATAGTACTTCCTGAGAGCAGGGCTAATAGACAGTGGCCCCAGAGTCAGCCTCAAATTTTTAATTAAACTGTTTTTAGAGGGTTTTGCATATTGAATTAGCGATTTATGACATGCTGAAAGGCATCCTTTTTGTACATTTTTAAAACGGATTATTGATTTTTCCATTGGCTTTAAGATTTATTTATTTATTTATTGAGATGGAATCTTGCTCTGTTGCCCAGGCTGGAATGCAGTGCCATGATCTCGGCTCACTGCAACCTCCACCTCCTGGGTGCAAGCGATTCTCCTGCCTCAGCCTCTCCAGTAGCTGGGATTACAGGCATGTGCCACCATGTCCAGCTAAGTTTTGTATTTTCAGTAGAAACATGGTGTTCACCATGTTGCCCAGGCTGGTCTCAAACTCCTGACCTCAAGTGATCTACCCACTTCCACCTCCCAAAGTGCTGGGATTACATGTGCCCACCACCAGGCCTGTCCAATTTTTTTTGTATTTTTAGTAGAGAGGGTTTTTGCCATCTTGGCCAGGCTGGTCTCAAACTCCTGGCCTCAGGTGATCTGCCCTCCTCAGCCTCCCAAAGTGCTGGGATTACAGACTTGAGGCATCACGCCTGGCCAGCTTTAATATTTATGATCATAACAGTTCTTTGCTTTCTAACATGAGTGGTCAAAAATATAATATCTTCTAATCTTACATGATTTTCTATTTTCATCTACCTGAAGTAAGTTAGAATATTTAAATTTTTACAGCCTTGAAAAATTTGTCTTTTTAAAGCATTTTCTTTCCCTTGAGGGTCTGGTATTACAAGTATGTTACATTTATTTCATTTGTAAGCCTCAACAGGCTGAATATCTGTTTACCATTTTATTTTCGTAAATTCACCTTAGGAGTGCTCCTGGCATTCATTTTCCTAAAGAATACTTCTGTTGTTGGCGTTGTTCAGACTTTGCCCTCGAGTCTAACTTAGTCGCATACCTTCCTCTAACTACTCTGTTTTAAGAAATCTTTCCTACCATCCCTTCAGTGTTCTTAATTTTCCTTTTTCTTTCTTTTTTATTTTTTATTTTTTTACAGGTGAGAAACTCTTCTTTATCTCAGGTTTTTTACTTTCTGTCAGTCACATATATATGTAGAGTCCTAAGTTCTCATCCATTTTCTTTTTTAAGCATGCTGAATAAATCCACTACACTTCTACCAGTGAGAGTTAATCTCCAAGCTAATTAATTCACCCTTTTTTTAAAGTAAAATTTGTTGTAAAAAATGGCATGCCAAAAAAATATGCTTTTCAGTCAACTGCCTTGAGAATATGCTATTTTCTAACCACAAGACAATTTTTCTGAGTCTTAGCACAGGAAACCAAACATCTAGTAAGAGGTGGCCTGACATAAATAAGTACTAAAAGACTAGCATTAAAATCTGTTTTATAAGATAGATTTTTTCTGGAATGACTTTCTAAAATTATTTCTTGTACATTTCCTTCCCTTTCTTCTGTCTTTGTTTATTTTATGTTGTATATTATCCAAATTATGCCCCAGATTTAGATGAATCCTTCTTTCATGCTGATTCTGTTTTTTAGTCTCTTTTTCACCGTGTCTTGTTCGTTGGCCTTAAATCCAAATAACGGCACATTTGACACGGATGTCAGGGCAAATATTTCTATCAGTGTCATACCATCATTGACATACTCCCGAATATAAATGTTGTACATAAATATTTCCTTTGTGTATATAGTAACATTCCAAATGTATTGTATGCTTACACAGTCACTTCTCTTTTACACCGTGATACCATGTTATTGTTGTTTGGGGTTTCTTATTTATTTTTATTTTATTTATTTACTTACTTTGAGATGGAGTCTCGCTCTGTCGCCAGGCTAGAGTGCAATGGCATGATCTCAGCTCACTGCAACCTCTGCTTCCCGGGTTCAAGCAGTCCTCCTGCCTCAGCCTCCCAAGTAGCTGGGACTACAGGCGCATGCCACCAAGCCTAGCTAAGTTTTGTATTTTTAGTAGAGATGGGGTTTCATCATGTTGGCCAGGATGATCTCTATCTCTTGACCTTGTGATCTGCCTGCCTCGCTTGGCCTCCCAAAGTGCTGGGATTACAGGTGTGAGCCACCGCGCCGAACTCAGGGTTTTTTTTTAATTCAAAAAAATAATTTTCGATAACATGGGGAGAAATGCCAGATATAGGTGATGGGGAGGAAGGCAGCAAACCACATTGCCATGTATGTACCTATGCAACAGTCTTGCGTGTTCTTCACATGTACCCCAAAGCCTAAAATGCAATAAAATATATGTTTTTTAAAAATAATAATTTTCATATTATATCGTGAGGTCAATTTAGTTTCCCAAAGCTGATCTTTATGATGATGATGATCTCGAGCTTTAGAAAAAATAGTGCACTGCGCTAGAAATTAAAAAAAGAAAAAATTCTCCAAACTCTTGCTAGAAATAAAAAAAAAAAGCCAGGCAGGGTGGCTTACGCCTGTAATCCCAGCACTTTGGGAGGTCGAGGCGGGTGGATCACGAGGTCAAGAGATCAAGACCATCCTGGTCAACATGGTGAAACCCCGTCTCTACTAAAAAGACAAAAAATTAGCTGGGCATGGTGGTGCG